CTTTTCCTGAAGGCCCTCTGGTCCCTGGGCTGCTCAGATAGTCAGACCTGATGGCATAATGTCTTGGGTTCCAGGGCCCGTGCCACCACTCTCCTGCTGGGAAATCTCAGGAAAACCTTTGCACCCTTGGGCCTCAGTGAGCATGCAGCTATGGGTTGGGCCGTGGGACCTCACAGGCCCTTGCTAAACGGGGACTGCTGCTAGGGGTGCTGGCGCACGAGTTTCCTAGGGAATGGGTCACCCCCGTGCGGTCTGCAGGGCTTTTTAGGAGCTTTAGGACATTCCCCGTCCAGAGTGTCCTCCATCATTCCCAAACCATGAAAACCATGCACTGAGAAAGCACACTGGGATCCAGAGATGCCCCCCACCCACCCACACACAGCCCTGTTTGCTGGTTCTGAAGAAGCCTTGCCCAATAAGGCACTCTGTCAGAAAGTGAAGCAAGGAAGGTTTTCCAGAGGAAGGACATACAGAACTAGCTCCCAAGGGTGGTCTTGCTCCCAAGGAGCAAGAAGAGAGGGTGCTCCAGTCAGAGAGGCGGGTCCCACCTAGGGCCTTAAGGAAGACCATCCTGATGTCAGCCCCACACTCCCCTGAATGCCAAAATGGAAGGGGAGCTTAGTTTATTTATGCTCAGCCTATTTCGCCAAAGGTATTGAGGCAGCTCACAAAACCCGTAAGTCTGAAATGTTATAAAGTGAGTGGGGAAGTTGGGTGGAAGGGAAAGAATCATGGCAGGAAAGGAAGATGAAGCCAGTAGTCCCCCACTCACTGGGCTTGAAGACCTGGAACACCTGTCAGATGTAGCCACAAGTCTGGCTCTGAGCTCCCTAGTGGCTGAGGAGAAGAGTGAAAGCAGACCCAGTTCCCTGACCCAGCATGGGAAGATGAAAACACAACCAGTACACAGCCTTCTGTTGCCATCACCTCCTTCCCTGGAGGATGCACCCTCTCCTCACTTCAGGGCTAAGCTCCCCTCTCTCCTCCACTTCCCACTCTATGCTCCTACAATTCCTGGATCCCATGTGTTCTAGAACCTACCCTCCTAAGGTAGGATTTTTCCCTCTCTCTCCCTCCCCGCCTCTCCGGTGAGCTTTTAAGACTGGGAATGCTTGTTGAAGAGACACCCAAGTGAAAACCTTGGTCAGTGCAGAAACATAGAGATGTACCTGTGTATCCGGTCAGAGAAATGGGAGAGCCCCCCTCTGCAGGGAGGAGGCAAGCAGCATCAGAGGATGGGGGCTGGGCAAACCCAGACTTTCCAAGCTGTAATGGTGAAGGAGCTTCTCACTAGCTCCAGGGAGGGGGGAATTGGGGCTTCGAGGGAAGCTACAGCCTACAGGTGGAGAAAACTTGGCCTTAGCAGTGACAGAGGTGGTGCTGACCAATTTCTGGATCTTTCAGCCTTGTTGGGACAGGGCTTCGGGGCTGAGCTACTGTGACCCGGTGTGTACCAGGCTCAGCACACTCTGTCCAGCCCCACCTGGATGACCGCCACCTGATATATTGTTTCATGCTGGACATTCACCTCTCTGTGCAGGACAAAAGTGGGAGGGCTCCTCAGAGGAGACCACAGGCTGTGCGTCAGGGGCCACCCACTGCCCCCCAACCTTGGAGAGCCCCCTCCCGGGCCTGTTTTCCTCTCTCAAACGGAGATAACCAGGATGAGGCTGTAGTAGATTCAGTGATCACCAGGCAACAGCTTAGTAAAGGGCCCAGCACGTAGTAGGATCTCAAGCAAGGTGTCTGCGTCTGATGGCTGCGGAGCAGAGAGCCGGCGCAGCGCGGAGACTCGCCCAAGGTCACACAGCTGGGGCTGTAGATCCGACCCCGGGCGGCCTGACTCCGGCGGGCTGGGTTTGTCTGGAGCCAGCTTGCGGGAGCGGTGTTTGGAGGAGCGGACGCGGACGTGGGCGGCAAGGGACTTCTATTTTGGAGCGGGTGAGAGGAGCGCGGGACACGGAGGGGGCTGGATCCCTCCCCCGGCTCCCTGCGCCCCAGTCACCTTCCCGCGACCCTTCCCGGGAGGAGCGTCCCGGGCGGGTAGGGGGGAGGTGGGGAGGGGCGGGCCGGCGGTTACCTCATCGCCGCCTCCGGGAAGCTCCGATCGCTCGCTCGCGCCGCTGGCTGGGGCGGCGACTCAGGGCGCCGGAGCGACAGAAGGACGGGGGGACGGAAGCACCGAGAGGCAGCGCCGCCCCCGCGCCCCGATCCGCCGCGGGACCCGCGCGGCCAGGAGGTCGGACCTCGATGCTCGCGCGGCCGCCGGCGCCTCCAGTCGCGCTGCGGGGCGGAGGCGGTGTCTGCACGGCGCGCGGGGTCTGTTCTCTCCCGAGCTTCGGCACCTGCCGGAGCTGCTCGTGCGTCCTCCGTCGGCCTGCTCGGCTGTCTGCCCTCCGACCACCGCCCGCTCAGTCCTCCGGCCCAGCCTCTCGCGGCCCAGGGTGCTCCGGGGGGCGATGAGGAGCGCGGGGCCGGGGCGCACCGGGCAGGGCACGCGGGGCGCACGGCGCGGCGCTGGCCCATGAGGCTTTCCAGCGCTGGGCGCGGCACGGCGCGCGGGCCATGGGGGGCAGCCTGCGGGTGGCCGTGCTGGGCGCCCCGGGCGTGGGCAAGACGGCCATCATCCGCCAGTTCCTGTTTGGTGACTATCCCGAACGCCACCGGCCCACGGACGGGCCACGCCTCTACCGGCCCGCGGTGCTGCTCGACGGCGCGGTCTACGACCTGAGCATCCGCGACGGCGACGGCGCTCGTCCGGGTCAGAACCCCGGGGGTCCAGAGGTAGCGGCTCAAGGGCCGGCAGGGGCGTGTAACAGCGTGTGTGTATGTGTGGCGGGTGCTTGGTGCACACGTGCGTGTCTGCCTGGACAGCCCCGGGGTGCCCAACTGTGTTCATGGATTGAAGGATGAGTGTGTCCTGGGGGGTTTGTGTGTGTCTCTCTCCTTGACCGCCTGGAGCGGCCCAAGATCAGGCCTGAGGCCCTGCGATTTTGAAAAGCGGCTTTTTCTCACTCGCCTAAAGTGCCTGTATATTTGCCTGCCTCCGCTGGTGGTTCTGGATCAGTGCACGACAGAGCATGGTTGTGTCTCCCTGAGGGTGAGCACTGTATGTCTGGGGCCTTAGGCAGAGCCTCAGTGGGAGGAAGATGGGGCCAGACACAGGTGTACTTTATAGGGCAGTCATTCTCTGCTGCCTTATTCCTGTGACTCGCTTAGCAATTTGTGCGAAGTCCAGGACAGACTTTGAATCCTTGGAGCTGAATGCCTCAGAGAGGCGAAGAGGAAAGAGCACCCAGAATTAAGCAGGGCTTCCTGGAGAGGGTGACATTGGGGCTGACCCTGGAAGGATGAGTGAAGTTTTGATTAAAAGAAGTGGCAAAAGCCTGCCAGGTGGAAAGAACAGCATGTGCTTAGGCAGGGAGGCCAGAATGTGTCCCGCTGTCCATAATCAATGGTCTCCGAGGGCCTGGGGAATTCGGAGCCCAGAGCTTAGAGGCAGCTGTAGGAAATAGGGAGGGAGGGCCCAAGGGGCCAGCCGCCAGCAGAGCTTTGAAAAGCTGGAAGGAGAAAGCTAGGGGGTGGGCAGAGAGGAGGCCGAGGGTGAGGAGGGCTGGTAGCTGACTGGCTTCAGGCACAGGTTAGAAATTTTTACCCTGGCCACCGTGAAGACAGTAAGGGCCTATGGAGCTTGGGGGGAGATGGCGCACAGGGGTGGGGACAGCCGGGGCCTGAGGATGAACTGTGGGTTTAGCGTCAAGACCGTTCAGAGGGTTTGGCGGTCAGAGAGTGAGAAACTCTGGCCTCCCGCCCCAGGAGTGGCCGGACCCCAAGGACTGGAGCTTGCAGGACACGGACGCCTTCGTGCTCGTCTATGACATCTGCAGCCCCGACAGTTTCGACTACGTGAAGGCGCTACGGCAGCGCATCTCGGAGACCAGGTGGGGACGCGGCCACAGGTGTGTGGGGGCAGAGGAGGGGAGCTTTTGCCAGACTGGCTGGGCCTTTGCCCAAGGGCAATGGGTGGGTTCTTCCCCAGTCCTGGCTGGGTCTCGGGCCTACCAGCTATGCGGTCTTTGGGCCCCTCGGGTCTGGTATTTCCTTGGGGGGGGGTGTCTTTGGCCACAGGAGTGTATATACCCACTGGGGGTAGGGGTCCCGGGCCGTGGGGTGTCCGGCACGGCAGCCCGCGTCCCCATTTGGCCCACAGGCCGGCGGGCGCACCCGAGGCTCCCATCCTCGTGGTAGGCAACAAGCGGGACCGGCAGCGGCTGCGCTTCGGGCCTCGGCGCGCGCTGGCCGCCCTGGTGCGCAGGGGCTGGCGCTGCGGCTACCTCGAGTGCTCCGCCAAGTACAATTGGCACGTGCTGCGTCTTTTCCGCGAGCTGCTGCGTTGCGCTTTGGTGCGCGCGCGCCCCGCGCACCCAGCCCTGCGCCTGCAGGGGGCGCTGCACCCCGCGCGCTGCAGCCTCATGTGACTGAACTGGACGACGACGCCGATGGTGGGGGGAGGGTGGTTTGATTGGAGCAACCGGGTACCTGGATTGGACGAAATTGCCCAACTTCTCTCGGATTGGACAGGACAAAGTCTCCTCCCTGATTGGATGAGGAAACCTCCCAGTCAGTCTCCTGGGCGACAGGACTCTCTCAGCCTCATTGGACCTAGCCAGGCCCCAAGCTACATTGGGCTCGAGCAGTCCTTTCTGGGACCTCATTGGGTTACAATCCCATTGGACTTGGCTATTAATCTGATTGGAAGCTCTCAGGTTGCCCCTGCGGCTTCACTGGACAAACTCTTAAGTCACACCTCTCGGGAGGTAATAAAGGGGAAAACAATGCAAGCGCACCTCGCATTTCTCGGATGGGCTGCAGGGTCTCAAGCTTAAGAGGTTAGAGCTGCCAGGCATTGCTCCCTGGCACCTAATGCCAGAATCCCAACATGTAATAAGCGTTCCCCAAAAGGTGTGATGGCCCCAAGGCTGACCCCAAGAAGCAGACACAAGTGGCTGGAACAATACTTTACTGTCAGGCTCTGCAGGGCCACAGGACCTCAGGAGGGGTCCTCGTTGGCCTCCTCTAAGGCATTCAATAATATTAGTAATTAAATAGCAACGCTCATCCCCCAACCGGAATGTACGACAGAGGTCCCATTGTGCCATGTGGTCCCAAGGGGTCTGGTCCCATGAGGTCTGGTACCCGAGAGGCAGGGGTGGGGGGGCTCCCTGCTGCAGAGGGGTTAAGGCCACGAAGGAAAAGGAAGAGAAGGAATGTGGGCCTGGGGGCGGGGGCAGCTGGGCTGGTTCATCACATCCAGGAATCCGGCTCTGCCCTTGGGCTCACAGAGTGCAGGGCATGCCAGGACCCAGGCTCTGTGGATCCAGATGGGCGGCGAGGGCCCCGAGGCGTGGGAATGCGTGAGGGTTTTCGGTCTGGCTGTGTGTCCATCCGGCCCCGTGCCCAGGTCCTTCGGAGCTCCAGGCCAGCCGGGGGGCTTCCAGGTGCGTCTGGTGGGCCCCCCACACCAGGGCAGGGGCTGCCTTCATCAGAAGAGCTGGACAGGACTGGGCCTCGGGGCCCGGGCAGCCCATTGGCCATTCGGCCAGAGTCCCCAGGTTGGCCACACTTGCCACCCAGGACACTGAGGGATGAAGAGGAGCTGCTGGAGGAACAGTAGGCCGAGTCAGGAGCTGGGGGGTCTGGGGCCCGAGCTGGGTCAGAGGCTGGTCCTGCAGGGCTCCCGCCAGCAGCGGCCTCAAGGGCTCGGGCATTGGCCAGGAACTCCTCTTCCAAGCGCTGGAACAGCTGCTGCTCCTGCTTCGGGTCAAGCTGTAGGGGGGTGCGGAAGACGCTGGCCGGTGTGGCGCCCGCCTCTGGGCTGGGGCTGGAGACCCGGAGAGGCCGGGGCGCCGCAGGGCTGCGAGCCCGGGCAGTCTGGGGGCTGCTCCTGCCTGAGCCCCCGCTGGCCCTGCCCCGGGGCACCCACGAGTGCTGGCCATCTCGGTCCCTGTGCACCAGCAGCGTGGTCTGCTCCTCACGGCTCTGGCTCCGGGCTCGCCGGGCGGGGCTGCCGGCCGACAGCAGGGCTGCCCTGCCTCCTGGGGCTCCACGGGGCCGCCCCCGATCCAGTCGGTCTCTGGACTGGGTGCGCGGGGCGGGGGGCCGTCTCGGGGAGGCCGGGGTGCCTGTGGTCAGACGCCGGCTGGGCCGCTCCCTCCGGGGGCCGGTGCCTGAGTCTTCACAGCGGACACCAAGGGGGCCGCTCTGGGCTGAGGACGCTGAGGAGTCGCTGTCCCCGGAGTAGCGGCGGGAGCGGGGATGGGGGGGCAGCTGGTCCCGGGCCCTGGGGCAGGGGAACGAGAGAGAGAGAGAGAGAGAGAGAGAGAGAGAGAGATGGGGCATACAGAGACAGGACTGGCATGCAGAAAGGGCCGGGAAAGGAAGGAACAAGCAGCCAAGTGGTTGGGGGCGGGGAAGACACCTGTGGTGGGGGTGGGGGCTTGTCAAGGGCTTCGGTCCTCCTGGGGACTTCCAGAGAGAAGTGAGGGACTTGGCAGCAGCTTCCGGCAGCCAGGGCCACCCTCCACCCCAAGGCAGCGGAAGAAGCCAGGCTCCGAGCTCCCCCTCCCCAGGCCTCCAGCTTCCTGGGCAGGCCAGAGGGAAGCGGGTAGGACTGGCCGCCGCCCAACCCCCAGGGCCTGCCCCAGCTGTGTTGTTCGGCTGCTTGGGTTGCCATGGAGATAGGAAGCCAGGCCTGCCCCCACCCACGGGAACTTTTCCCAGGGTGTGAGTCACTATGGAGCACAGGCTCCTTCGTCATCCAGGCCAGGGCGGACGCCCCGCCCCCCACCCTCTGGACCCCTCACCCCCCCCCCCCCCCCCCCCGCCGCCCCAGGCCATCCTGCCTCTCACCTGAGGGGGGTCTCTGTTCCCTCCTTTGAGGTGCGTAGGCTAATGGGCGTCACTTCTGGCCGGGAGCTCCGTCGCTCACTCCCAGGGGCTGGGCTGCCAGCGCGAGGGCTGGGGGTGGGCGACACCCTCTGTGGGGAGAATGTTTGAGCCCTGGGCTGGGACGGGCGGTGGGCTGCGGGGGCGTGAGAGAACAGGTGGCAAGTGAAGGATGGTGCCACAGACACAAGCGCTCTGCCCGCCCAGCCCCCCTCGCCCCCGCCATGGGCACTGACCAGAGGACGAGCAGCGGCAAGGGTCATGCTTGTCCAGATAGTGCTCCAGAGTGTCCCAGCCGCCACCCACGCGCACCATCACGTGGCTTCTCAGCACCTGTGGGAGCCCAGCGTGGGCAGGTCACGGCCTGTCGGATGGGCCCAGCAGCCCCCCGTGGGCCTGCAGGGCAGCCCCGAGCTCTTACCCGCACAAAGATGAGGAGACTGGAGTCTCCCACGCGGTACTTCCCCTCCGAGACTTTGATCATGGGAAACTGGTCTGGGCAGGTGCAGTAGCCCAAGATCTCCCTCACCTGAGGTCAGAGAGGAGAGACTGGTGGTCAGGGATCCAGTCCCTCCTCCTGGGGCCTGATGTCAGCAGCTCCAGGCTCAGGAGGAAGCAGGTCCTTCCGGGTAAACGGGGCACAGATTGCGTTGCCCCTGACTTGGGTGCGGGCTCTACACTTGACCTTTCACCAGCTCCCCTTCCCCTTTGGCTGTCAGAGGTCAGGGAGCTGACCAGGAAAGGATGGCGGCGCTGTGGTCAGGTCAGGGCTTGGGACCCCAGTGAGGCGCATCCCTCCAGCCCCAGAGCCTGGGGCAGTCCTGGAAGCCGTCCTCACTCCCCCTTCACCTACTTCACAGAGGCTGAGGCCCCACAGGGACGCCAGGTCCTGGGAGGAGGCAGGCCGTGGGACATGAGTGCAGGGGACCCACACCACATCGGTGCCACAGACGTGTAGGGTGGGTACACACACGCACACACACACTCTCTCTCTCTCTCTCACCCTCACCAACATGCACACCAGGCCACACACCCAGCAAGCACACATCTGCCCACATGCCCCCGCCAAGGCCGGGAGCTGCCAGGCTGGCTATGTGGGCGGCCCTGCCCGCCTCCCAGCCCACAGTGGAGCCTGAGGAAATGAGCCTCGGGTGACCCTGGCCCAAGACAGGGGTGGGGTGGCAGCCTCTGCCCATGGCCAACCGGCTACCCCCCTCTGGGATAGGCACATCATAGTCCTAACCTCTTGATAAGAAGGAAACTGTTGGCCAGGCTGCGGGGGCGTCAGGGATACCCAGGTCCCGAGAAGAGGAGGAGGGAGCTGGGGGTACGGTCTGGTACCTCTTATGCTCACAGAGCTAATCCCGTCCTCCTAAGAGGACTTCTGGCTCCTAGCAGCAGCTCTGGGCCTGGCTTCCCAGGTCAGTGATGTGCGCAGGGCCGCGGGGGAGTGGGTGGGCCTGTAGAGCCCTGGGGAGCTTCCCTAGGCACTCACTGAGAGCCTACTGTGTGCCGGGCATCTTGCTCACAGCCAAGCGTCACAGGCACCCACTCAAACCTCGAGCTCTGTGATGTGGATGCAACTGTCTAGCCCTCGAGTACATACAGAAGGGGTCAAATCATGCGGCCCCCTGGATGAGGGAGTATACAGCACTTCTCTGGTGCACGGGTAACCCTTAAAGGAAGTGGGGAGATCATGCAGTGCAGTTCAGATTTTATCCCTGGCCCAGCAGGGCCTTGTGCCCTCACCCAGCACTTCTCCCTCTCTGGGTGGTGCCCATCTCCTTGGGGCCAGGTATACACTTGATGCTCAACATATGCACCACCCCATGGGACAGGCTGTCCCGTCCCTGGCACGCGGTGGGGGCGTAAGGCAGGGCCATGGGTGCGCGCCCTCACTGGCGGACTCACCAGCTCGTCGAGGTTGCGCAGGTCGCTGGGTGTCATGCGGGGCCCACGGGCAGGAGCCCCTGCTGTGGTGGCAGTTTCGGGGGCATCCTCCTCAGCCATGGGGGCATGGGGGGCCGGGGGTGCAGCACGTAGCTCCCGCTCGATCTCCTGTTCAAACTGCACAAGGCGAGGGGCGAGGAGGCCGAGGCGGGCCCCACGCCGCGCCACCTCCAGCAGGCACAGCACCACGCTTTTCTCATTCTTTCGCAGCACCAGGTCCTCCGTCTCAAACATGAGCACTTCAGGCACACCCAGCTCTGTTCGGCACCAGCCGATGAACGTGGCCACGTTGTCGCGGGCCATGAAAGAGCCAGGCGCCACAGTGTGCGCCTGGAAGGCCACCCCGCGGGCTGGACGGGCAGCGGCCAAAGCACGGGCGGCCTCAGTGACAGCATTGGCGTGTTGGCACAGGGTGGTGCCCGTGGCCAGCCCCGTCAGGAAGCCATCACCACCGCTGGGCAAACCCAGGCCATACAAGGCGTTGAGCCACTCGGCCAGGTCCTCTTTCATGGCCTCCACGTAGGCCTCACTCGAGCGGAACGGCCGCACGCTCTTGGCTGCCGAGCCCGCGATGCCCGCCACGGGGTCCGCCATGCCCAGGCCAGCCGAGTCACTGTGGGTGGGCAGGGACACAGGACTGCTGTGAGGACCCACGAAGCACTCAGTACAGACTAAGCCGCTGACCACCTGCAACTCGCCTGTCATCTCAGGCCAGATGCCTGGTTCTGTGTGCTGGCTGTGAGAAACTTCACTGTACCTCAGTTTCCTCGTCAGTGAAATGGGTACAATAATAGTACCTTCCTTGCAGGACCTAATGAGATAATTTGTATGAATGACTTAGTATCTGTAAGTGTTTACTATTTCCCTCTGGGAGGGGGGTGATAGGGGACTTGGCTGAATCCTCCCTCCCTGGCAGGCACACATGCATCCTTATTGCCCCCCATGGTAGGTGCAAAGCAGAGCCCTAGAGATGCAGCCCCCAGGCGTGGACTCACAGTGGACAGGCAGGACCTGTCCAGGAATCCGGGTCCCAACCGCAGGAATGGTTAGGGCCATCGCTCAGGGCTGGTACCCGGCCCACCTCCTCTGCGAAAGTCCCGGGTACTCCCTCAGCTCCCCTTCCCTAAGGACTGTGTCATTATAACGACGACATAACAGCAGTAACAGTAACCGCAATGCCCCTGCCAGGGCTGAGTGTTAGTGATTTTATCTCCATTTTACAGTTGAGGAAACTGAGGAGCAGAGAGGGTAAGGGCTCGCTCAAGGTCGCAGAGCAGTGCGTGGCAAAGCCAGGCCGACCTGAGCCGCGCTGCGGATGGCAAGCGCCAGGGGCAGCCCGGGGGTGCCGGAGCCAGGCCCCGCCTCCTCCTCCGAGCCTCCCTAGCGCTGCAGGCCGGGTGCGTGCGGGGCCGGGACTCGGAAGGGCCTCCGACAGCCCCCGCTGGCCTCCCGGCTTCGGCCCAGAGAGGGTGCGGAGGCCGCCCAAGGTCACACAGCCCCGGGGAACGGAGGCCGCAGCTGCCAGGTCCCCGTGAGTGCGCGCCAGGCAGGGGTTGCTGGGGGTCCCCGCGCTCACCTCGCTCATCCTGCGGCCTCGGGGAGCATCGCCCCGGCGGGGCCGAGCGGGGCCGGGCCGCCGCAGGGAGGCGCCGCCCGAGCCACAGCGATCCGGTCCGGCGGCTGAGGCCTCCGCACCCGCCCGCCGTCTCCGCCCCGCCTCCCTGGAATTCGGATCCGGCCCGAGGGGGCGGGCGGGGCCGCGCGCTCTTAAAGGGGCAGAGCTGTTCCAGCGCTGGCGGGGCGGACCGAGGGAGGAGCTGGAGTCTCCTGACTGGGGTGGGGGCGGGACCAGGGACCCCAGGCGACCCCACCAGCCCGGACGCCCCATCCCCGCTCAGGCTGGTCTCAACGGTCCCTTCCAAACCTCCCTGGTCTCCTGGGGAGAGGTTTGGGCCTTTTTAATTACACCCCTTCCCCGGAGAGCTGCCGCCTCGGGAGGGCCGCACGGCCTGTTCCCAAGACGAACTCAGGAAGCGATAGGGACTGGGGCTGCAAAGTCACCTCCGTCTGGAGTGAACCTTCCTAGGTCAGATAAATGAGGCCAGCGTGACTCTGGGTGCGAGCTTCCTACCAGCAGTGCAGGCCTCGTGGAGGTGGGGGAGGATGGCCTATTCTGCCCACCCGGTGTGCCACTCCTCACTGAATGCTCATCTTTAACCTTGAGGTTAAGGGAACCCGTTTCTCTGATGAGGACACTGAGGCTCAGAGAGGTAGGCAGGTGGCTGAAGCCTGCGGATCTGACACCTTGGCCCCTGCCCTTTGGGGAGAGGCCTGTCCCCAACCACCTCTGGCTACCCAGGTCAGGCACAGAATTAAGGGGAAAGGAGGATAATGAAGTGGCCTGGGTCAGTTTGGCTCGGGAGGGTTAATTGCTGCTGGTTTCTTTTCAAACTGCTGGGGAGGGACCAGGCTGGGACCAGCGGGAAATCCTGCCCCCTGCTGCTGGCTGGGCGGGGAGGCCAGGCCTGGCTGGGCCGCAGCCTTGCTGGCCAAACCGGACCAGCCTGGGGGGAAGCACCACCACCCATAGCCAAGTCTCAGAGCTTTCATTAAACTCCTACTGTGCACCAGGCCTGCTTATGTGCCCTTGACCTAAACTAGTCAAGTCACCTCTATGAGGGACTCTCTTTTGCCCAAACTAGGGCTGGTGGAGTCTGGGTTTGAACATGGCTATAATGGGAATATCCTCATTCAAGGATCAGGGCCATTTGTTGAGTACCTACTGTGTGCCAGACCTGCTGGTTGCCAGGCTGATCACGTGCATCATCTCACTGAGTCCTCATGACTCATGGGCTCACAGCCCAGTGTCCTAGATACCCAAGTGGTGCAGGTTCTGATCTACCCTCTCCCTTCAGCACTCCTACCCACAAAAAGTGAGGAAGGCCGGTAAATAGTAATAGTAATGCCTGACACTTATGTGGCACCTACTGTGTGCTGGGTCTCTTCTGGCACTGGGAACCAAGAGCAAAATGTGGGGAAGGAAACAGAGCCAGCTCTAAGGGTTCACAGTGTGGTAAGGGAGGCAGCCCCTGGGCTGAAACAGGGATGAGGCACCAGAGAAGAGAGAGAGGTGGAGCCAAGGGGTGTGACCTAGGAGTGTGGGGTGGGATGAGGCTGCAGTTTTAAATCCGTGGTCAGGAAAGGAGCTAAGGGAAGGAACCGTGTGGATGGTTGGAAGGAGAGTATTTCAGGCAGAGGGAACGGCCAGTGCAAAGGCCCTGAGGTGGGCATGTGGTTGGTGTGTTCAAGAAAGAGTAAGGAGGCCTGTGAGGCTGGGGTGGAGGGAGGGATGAAGATAGAGAGATTGGGGGCGGAGCGAGTAAAGCTTTGTGGGCCATGCCTCTTTGGAGGGACATGGGAGCCATGGAGGGATTGATTGCAGGGGAGGGGTGCAACCTGACTTAGGTCTTAGCCAGTTCCCTGTGGTTGCTGTGGTGGGCAGGGCAGGAACCCAGAGGAGACCAGGTGATACCAGTGGGGGTGGTGGAGAATGGTGGATTCTGGCTGTATTTGAGGGGAGAGCTAATGGGATGTGCTGGTGAATGGGTGTGAATCATGAGGACAGAGTCAAGAATGACTCCCAGGTCTGGGACAGCTGATACCTGGGGGAGAGGGCTGCTGGAGATGGGGCAAGGGAACTCCGGTTTCAGGGGGAAGAGCAAGGTGTGGAAATGAAGTAATTTCGTCCTCAAAATAATCCTATGAGGTAGGATGATTTTATATGTTCTCATTTTACCATGTGGGGACACTGAGGCCCAGAGAGGGCAAGGGATGTGTGCGGTCAGCAGCTGTGCAGGAATTTGATTCCTGCTTATATCTACCTTGCTCAACGACAGGGCTCTAGACATAAGAGAGTCAGATTGAACCCAGGCCCTGCTCTTGGTCACTGTTGGGTGAGACGGTTAACCTCTCTGAGCCCCAGTTGTACTGTGTGGACAATGGGACAGTGCATCATAGAGCTGTGAAAATGGTATCATTAGTTAGCAGTCGGGACAGGCGTCTACTATTCCTCTGAGGAAGAGGGGACACGGGGGTGGGAGCTTGCTCCTCCCTATCTCCCATCCCCTGGGCTGTGGCCTGCCATCACAGAGGCCCCCTCCAGAGCACAGACTCCAACATTCTGGTTATAGGACAGGTGGCAGGGGTAGTAGGGCTGACTGGCATGGCCAGACTCCTGGCCCAGGCTGTGGAGGGCCTCAGCTTTGACCCCCCTCTGTTGTGTGGTGACCTCTGCTGTTCCTTGCAGGACCAAGGGAAGTCACAGAAACTGCTGGAGGGACAGGAGGTTTGGGCTATGGTTGTCCTGAACCCATTCCCGCAGATGCCAGGGGCCACCCCGCTGTACAGAAGGTTGTGCCTCCAAGGCAGACATGGTCTTGCCTGTGGCCAGTGGGCACGTGGCCGGATTTCTTGCCTCCACTGCTGGGTGCCAGGGAACTGCGTGCTTGGCCTTGGTTGCAGGTGGAGGTCAGATGATGGCCATGGAGTCTTCAAGTAAAGCCCTCACTGGCAGGACTTGGCCCTGGTGCCGGGCAGCTCAGGTGCTGGTTGGGTCCACTCTAAGCTCGGCAGGTTAGCCTGAGCCTGTGAGCACAGCCCTGGGGGAGTGAGTGACCCACAGGGGTCTTTAGTCTCCTCTGTTCCAATGCGGGTCCAAGCATGACAGCTGCTTGCTCCTGCCCTGGCTGTGGGACAAGTGACCCTCCGCTTCCCTGGGCTGCCTCCTGTGCCCTCCAGGAGTAGAAATCAAAGCCGGAAAGCCCCAGAGGGCCCGCTTTCCCACCTGCCTCCGCTGCACTGCCCGTCGCTTGCCCTGTGCCTGGCAGCTCCGTGTGGCGGTGGGGGTGGGGGGTGGGAGGGGGCAGCTCAAGAGCTGGCCGTTGGCCCTGGGGTCCCGGTGTCTGGGAGCCTGGCTCCCAGTTGCCTCGGCTGCTGGCCCCGGTCACTGCCCTGTCCTCGGCCCCACAGCTGCTGCAGGCCTGGAGCCCCACGTTCCGTCCCACGGGGCAGGTGAGCCACTCGCTGCGGTCTGCGCGTGTGCAGGGCACAGGTCGGTCTCCCCACCGACGCCTCAGCCTTTGTCCGGGACTGTGGAGTGGGGCCTCGCGGGCCCATGAGGCTGTGACGGAGATGGTTTTTGTGTGCCCGACCAAGAGCTCCTGGAGAGTTCGGAGCAGGCTGCGCGACAGAAGCAGGACTTCTCTGGTGGCTGCAGCCCTGCTTTTCCTCCCCCTCCAGCTCCAGGGGCACTGACCAGCTTCATGCAGCCCTTCAAGACAGGGCTTGGAACTCAGGCTGCCTGAGGTCCTCTGAGGCCAGTGCGGTCCAGACGTTTCTTTCGGCTGAGAGAAATCAGCCCTCTGACAGAAACACTACCAAACCCTAGGCCTAGGCGCCGAGGACATAAATACCTCTCGCAGGACCATTTGGTGCCGGCGACAAGCCCCTCTGGAGGCAGGGACACGAGCCACTCCTGGGGCAGCCCCAAGCTCCAGGCAGGAGCCAGGTAATGCCGGTGGCGTGTGATGGTTGTGCCGCAGCTCCCACGGAGGGCTGCCTGTCACCCCTTGGCACGGGCTGCGGGCCGGGTGGTGGCTGAACCCTACCCGGTGCTGCCAGAGCCCCGGCCTCTCAGACACAAGACACCGCGTGCGGGAAGCTCAGGCTCTGCAGGGAGACTGCCCTCAACTCTGGTCGCCCGCCGCCACCGGCAAGTCCCGCCGCCTCATCCAGGAGATGTGGGTAGACTCCTACCTCAGCGGCTTGTCGGGAAGTAAATGTGGTGAGGTGGTGCTTGGCACCACGCCCAAGCCCGGGGATGTCGTGGTTAAACTTGGGCCTCAGGGTGTGCACGCGGGCTCTGATGCTTCCAACACCTGCCAGGGCCCCTTGGGGGAGCAGCACTGGCCTGTGTGGCCAGACTCCAGCCAGCAAGGCTGAGCGGGGCAGCTGAGGTCACGGGGGCCTCGTGAGACATGGCAAGTGGGCTGGAAGGCCTTGGCGAGTTGTAAAAACTGCAGTGACTTAAGGTCAAGAAGTCACTCTGGCGTCTGGGGGGCAAGGGCTGGAGGGGCCGGGGGAAGCGGGGAGACGGCAAGGGGTGGCAAACGAGAGGTGGGGGGCGCTGGTGACATATACCGTACTTTGAAGAGAGCCCGCGGGGTCGGGTCGGGGGCCGGGGCAACACGAGAACAAGGGAGGCCAGGAGGACGGTGAGGTTCCGCGCGAAGTGGCAGGGGCCCCGGTTTGCTGAGCTGGGCTGTTGGGAGGGGCCGGCTCCAGCCCTTCTGTAAGCCCATCACTCAGGAGGAGGCCAGCCAGGCAGTGCGGGTCAGAGGCGGCCTTCCTACCTTTTGAGGTTGGTGGGGGAGGCGGGGGTGGACAGCAGCCACCAGAGGAGGGCCGAGGAGGGACCACTGATTTGGCAACATGGTCACTGGGGACTTTGAGAACTACCCTACCAGAAGCAAGACTTAAGTCGGTTCTAGGAGAGTGGGTGGGCACTAGGGGAACAGAAAAATGGCTTGGCACCTAGAGGGGCTGATGTTTCCCAGAGGGGGGAGAGCAATGCCTCTTCTTGAGAAATGACTCGTCACGTAAAAGATGAAGCCACAGAGATGTCACACATACGTCCAGGAGGGCTGGGAGTGCGCCCGAGACCTGTCCCTGTCTGCCTCAGGAACACGGGCCAGTAGTGCAAACCCTAAGGACAGCAGGGCCACTGTGAGCAAGGAGGGGTGCACGGGCTCCTAAGAGGTTTCCCAAGGCCTTGCTCTCATGGGCCAGGGGATGGAGAGGAAATAATTTATTCCAAATTCTTCTTGTGCCTTCCCCTGGCAAAGGTGACAATCTCTTTGAAAGTTTCAAACACTAGCTGGTTTCACTTATTTCTTTAAGCTCTGAAAAACCAGAGTAAGATATAATTTGTGGACTTTTGAAATATGGACTAATATAAAGTTATACTGAGAGAAGGTGCGGCTGCGACTTTAGGTTACGAAGGACTTGCTCCACTGCTTCAAGTCAGCACACTGAGCAACTGCACTTCTGAGCCAGGAGTCCTAGCTGCCAACATCTGATTTCCAGAAGCCCCCAGCCCCCATTCAGGACTTGTATGCAGCCCTGCCCTAGCTGGTCTTTGCTGACTGGGTTATGGTTAGGCCTGCATTTCTTTCCTGAGCATCTCGTGATCAACTGACTTTATTTGCAGACTGGGTTACATACAGTTGCTTACCTGGAAAACCTCTCTTTTCCTAGGAAGGCACATTAGGGCCTCAATCTCTGGATGCCCGAAATCATGCATGCACAGGTCATCAAGACTTAAAATCTACTGGCCTGGACCTAAATAGTCTTCACGCAAGTCCAAGAAAAGACAAGACTGACCAAAAAGGCCCAGAAGTAAAAGGTCTGGGATTCTTCTCAATTTCAGAAACACGCTCTTGGGGAAAAGCCCTGGCTTCTGACCTCACACAAGGCAGTCAGGGAGAGCTGAACAGCGGCCTCTATTTACCAAGTTCACAAACTCTGACCCGGTAACATCAAGAAAATGTCACATCAAACGGTTCCCATTAGCGGTCACTGAAGCAGACCTTCGTCCTGAAGCATGTGGAGCCCAACTTGGAACACCCGCTAAAACCCCGACAATGGCCTGGGAGCCACCCAGACACAGTGCCTGGCCCTCTGCCACGGAGATCCTCCCTGCAAATCAGCCAGACCTGGGCCAGATTTCCCTGTGGCTAGAGCTAGGGTTCTGGGTGAAGGTGACACTGCAACCCCCGTTTCCTTGCTGGCAGCACCACACCCAACATGGTGCCGTGCTGACCATTTCGGGTTTCCCCTCCCAGGACGCTGGAAGGGGCGCCTATCTATCTGGCGGGTCAGCATACACTCCAAGTAGACTCGCAGCGACTGTGGAACAGAGGCCGAGAAGGATGACTGTTTATAAACATTTGGAATTTTATTTAAAAAACAAAAAAAAAAACCGAAACAAAAAAAAAACATCACAACCATGAACATTGTTACAGTTAGAGGCCCTCTTGGTTCTCCACAATGATACTGAGCATGCTCACAAGGGGTTCCCATTGTTTAGTCTTAGTTAAACAACCATCTTTTAAAAGAAGGAAAAAAAACTCGGCACACTACCATTTAACTTGTTTTAATGTTTCTTCACAAATGGTGAAAAATACTAAAGTACAGACAAGGAATAATCATAATGTTGTGGCCAACATTATAAATATGGAATTATAAATTTAAAACATTTTCTGGTTTAAAAAATAAATCTGGTAGTCAATGCAGCTCTGCGGGGTCTCTGCGTCTAGTAGGGCCGGTCTCTGCGTTCCTGACGGTGCTCGCCTCTGTAAGGCCAAAAGGGGCGAGGGGTGAAAAGGGGCAAAGGAGAGGGAGCTTCCCACCAGAACCCGCCCCAGGACCGCACAATCACGTACTTATCCATTTTTCCAGGTCCTCCGCGCCCGCCTCTTCTTCCTCCCATCTGTTCCATCAAAGGTCCAGGAGGCCCACCAGGGCCGCCCCGTCTTCCTCCACCAAAGCCACCTCGGTCCATGCCCCGGCCACCACGGAAGCCCCCTCTGTCTCCACCACGGCCACCTCTGAACATCCCACCGGGACCACCGCGGTCCATGAGGCCGCCTCTTCCGCCGCGCATGCCACCAGGGCCGCCTCTGCCACGGTCACCACCTAAAGGAAAAGAACAGATCAGCAGCAAGACGGGGAGAACGGATGGCTGCATGGCGGCTCAGGGTCTGCTGCCTTCTCCCAGAGCAGACACAAAGGAGATGCTTTACTCGGTCTGCATCTCTGGGGCACACTTTAGAACAGATGATGGAACCTCAGGAGCTCCAGCGCCAAGACTACACTTCCTGAGACACCGACCTGGCTGTGAGCAGTGGACGGCAGTCGTTTACCAAGCCCACCAAGGCAACAAAAGAGGTTTAGAACCAAGATGCTGAGGGGATGTGCCCCAAACCTGTACCTACCCGGGGGTGGAAAGGGTGGTGGAAGGAAGCCTTCAGGCTTCGGGGCCTTACACTGGTTGCATTCTGTTCTCCAGGCGAAGTTCTGGTTTCCACACCCCCTGCATAAAATTATATCACAACAGAAATCACTAACCGAACTAAGGCAGTTAAGCAAAGCAAATGTAAGCAGGCACATGCCGTATTCCACCAGCACAAACACTGGAGCCTGGTCAAACACTATTAAGAGGATCCACTGACAGAAAATGGCTTCAGAGCCACAGCCTCAGGCAGCAATATACCCGAAAGACCGGTGTATGATCCAGAAAATGCACAACCATGTATGTACACGTGGACCCCAGGAATCCAATGGAATCATGACTTCCTTCAGAAGGCTCTGAAGATGGACTGATTAGGCCACCCACCCACCCCATGAGTCTGGGTCATCATTATACTCCTTGAGACAAGACAGAATCCAGCAGTCCTCCTCTCCAGAATGGGAATGGGCGGGACAGAGGATAACTTCACTAGTGTAGGGTATCAGTTTGTCAAGAGAAGTACATACGGATTGGGGCACTGCCAGTCTCCAGCTCGGTGCTGGACATTTCCTCCTCCGGATGGGTTCCCTCGGGAACCCCGGGGCCCTCTTGGGGGAAAGCCACCTCTGTCTCCTCCACGGCCTCCCATGCGACCCATGGGGCCCCCAGGACCTCCTGGGCCGCCTGGACCTGCAATAAGAAATAGCCAGTCACCTCTGTATAGCATTAGATTTGCTGCAGAGGAAATCTCTATCATTACGGGAATTCACATAGATCACGGATGTCACCGTCCCTTCATTTGCCTCAGACTTTTCTGCAGGCGCAAGGACCCAGCTGCATGCCTTCTGTGCACATTACTTTAGTTAGCTCCCACAACCTGTACAGAACAGGCATTCTCATGCAAAGATACCCAAGCAAGAGTAAATAAATGGCAGCCCAGGGTTGACAGCCAGGCATGCCAGCCCCGCTGACCAAGAAACCCGTTCTTCTCCTTTCAGTCCTGCAAACTTTTAACTGTCAACATTCAGTGGCTCAGTATTGATTCTACATGCCTTTTTCTTTTTTTAAAGATTTTATTTATTTATTTGTCAGAGAGCGAGCGAGCACAAGCAGGGGGAGCGGCAGGCAGAGGGAGAGGGAGAAGCAGGCTCCCTGCCGCGCAAGGAGCCCGATGTGGGACTCGATCCCAGGACCCCGGGATCATGACCTGAGTCCAAGGCAGATGCTTAACCAACTGAGCCACCCAGGCGTCCCATGCCTTTTTATTTCTAATGGGCTTGTCTACACTCTAGAAATCAAGCTTCTCAAAGACAAGTGTAAAAAAACATTGACAGCAACACAAAAGCAGCTCAGGAAAGATGTCTGGTAAATACCTCCACGAAGTGGCGGCGGCATCCCTCTGCCCTCACGGGGAGGCATACCACCCCGCATGCTGTTCATCGGAGGCTTCTTCCGAGCAAGAGAAACCTTAAGTTTGCTCCCTTGAAAATCTTTCCCTGGAACAAGACAACAGAACACCAATTACTCCCAACTTGCAACTCTTCCATCTTTGAGGGACTGGGCGAAGCTAGACCACCACTCTCAACCACCCCTGTGGTAGCATGTGCCCCATCCACAACCTTCTCGAAGATCTTCACTGGTAAGGCCACAAAACATTTTCAAAAGATACGTCAAAAACCCCTGTACCCTAGGGAGGGAAGTAAGCCAGGGGAAGGCTGAGTGCACTGGCACCCTTGCCCCACAAAGGGTGAGAAGTAGGGAAGGAGTATAGTATAGAGGGGCCAGGAGATGAAAGCCAGACCTGTCCTTTGACACTTTCAAGTTGATTTTGTCTGCAGGAAAGTTCCAGAATCAATACCAAGACCAAATATGGATATAGTTAAGCTCAAATGTATACTGGATTTTTGTGGGGTGATCTGTACCTTCTGCCCATGCTTAGAGAAACATTTACAATTTTAGGCAAAGTGGATTTATAATAATGAGTCAAAATAAGGGATCTCCTAACCCAGGGCCAGCAATGGGGCCCTCCCATGGCAGAAAGGAGCCAGGCACACCGCTTTCCAACAGTCAGCCAGTGCTCCTCCAGTGCAGAGAGGGGGTCCTTCCCGCTCCTATGGCTCTCAAGTTCCTCCTTTCTGCCACGTGTACCTGTCCCTTGTCCCCAAAACCACTTCGGAGAATGATATTCTAACAGAATTACAAACATTAGCAAGCAGGTTGACATGGGCAACATTTGCTACAAGACCCTTCATGTGCCCTAGTGAGCATCCCCTGTCGACTCTAGGGCTCCTACCATCAAACCACTCCACGGCAGCCTTGGCAGTTGGTGGGTCTTCATAGGACACCGTAGCATCACCTTTGGGCTTTCCTGTTTCCTTGTCCAAGTAGATATGGATCATGGGTTGTCCGGTTCTCTTGTTCATCTAGGCACATAAAATAGCACAGTCAGGCTGTGACCAGAAACACTGCTTTTTGGGGGAAAAGTCCATGTGAAATTCAGAGAAGTCCCCTAAATTGTCAAAAGTGTCAAAAGCAGTAATTTTTCATAGACACATTCAGTAGGACGTTAGTTTATCTCTGAGTAGTGGAACTAAGCGTGCCTTATTTCCTAAATTGCCACAACAAATATATACTTAGGTGATTTTTTTCCTCTTAGGTGTAGGTGTCATGAAAACCAAAATAGGCCTAAAGTTCCAAAGTGTGTAAGTGAACAGTGCGGTTCCCACTGCTTCCCTAGTTGTCATCTCCTGGTGTCCTTGCACCTACCCCAACATTTTCTGCGCCCACACCAACAGGCTCCCAGGGACAACAGCCACCTCGTATGAGGCAGTCAGGCTTTGACGCCATCACACAAGCCAGTGTCGCATCATCAGTAAGTACAGTATCCAGGGTTGTGAGTGTGCTAGAAGCATTAAGTCTAACACAGCCAATTTTTCCACCATAGCTTTTCAGCTGAACACCAGATCCAACTGGTTTGAATTCAGGAGCCACACTACAGAATATGGCTTCGGGGCACCTGGGTGGCTCAGTCGGTTGAGTGTCTGCCTTCGGCTCGGGTCATGATCTCAGGGTCCTGGGACTGACGAGCCCCGCATTGGGCTCCCGGCTCAGCTGGGAATCTGCTCCTCCCTCTCCCCCTGCCCCTTCCTTCTACTTGTTTTCTCTCAAAATCTTAAAAAAAAAAAAAAAATCAGAAAAATATGGCTTCATTTGTTTTCTGCATTAAAAGTGCATATCTCAGTTGGTTAAGCGACTGCCTTCGGCTCAGGTCATGATCCTGGAGTCCCGGGATCGAGTCCCGCATTGGGCTCCCTGCTCAGCGGGGAGCCTGCTTCTCCCTCTGACCCTCTTCCCTCTCTCTCGTGCTATCTCTCATTCTCTCTCTCTCAAATAAAATCTTAAAAAAAACTTTAAAAACAAAAACTAATAATAAAGACTTGCAAAACCTTTAAGGAGATGGTCTTTACTAAAGACCCAAGTAAATGAGCATATGATATTCATGGAAAAAACTACTCAGTATTATAAAAATGTCAATTCTCCTCAAACTATCTTACAGATTCAATAAACACCCAGTTGTGGTTTTTAAAGAACTTCCTAAGTAGAATTCTAAAATGTATATAGAAGACCAAGGTGTAAATAGCAAAGCATTCCTGAGGAAAAAGAACAAAACAGAATAATTTGCTTTATTTACAGATATCAAGACTTAGCATAAAAACAGCTGTGCTATTAGTGCAGGATCATACAAATTAACTCAAGCACACAAGACCATTAGAAATAAGCCCCCCGCCCCAACAAATAAATAAAATCTTAAAAAAAAGGGGGGGGGCCCTGGGTGGCTCACTTGGTTGAGCATCTGCCTTCAGTCCAGGTCATGATCCCAGAGTCCTGAGATCGAGCCCCGCACTGGCCTCCCTGTTCAGTGGGGAGCCTGCTTCTCTCTCTCCCTCTGCTGCTCCCCCTGCTTGTTTTGTCAAATAAATAAAATCTTGAAAAAGAAAAAAGAAATATATCCAGGTATGGGTGGAACTTTAAGTGATAAAGTATGTATCATCAAGGAAAGGATGGATCCTTTAATAAATGTTGCTGGAACAGAAGGTCTTGTATTACAAATAGACACAAACCAGTAAGGACAAGACCGGTAAGTTCAATTACATTAACAGCTTCTTCTACTCATCATAAGAAAAGGAATTAGAAATTGAGCGAATACATGTGCAATATTAGAGGGGCACCTGGGTGGCTCAGTTGGTTAAGCAACTGCCTTCGGCTCAGGTCATGATCCCAGGGTCCTGAGATCGAGCCCCGCATTGGGCTCCCTGCTGGGCGGGAAGCCTGCTTCTCCCTCTCCCTCTCCCACTCCCTCTGCTTGTGTTCCCTCTCTCGCTGTCTGTCAAATAAATAAATAAAATCTTAAAAAAAAAACAAAACAAAACTGGGAGAATACATGTGCTATATTAGACAAGGATCAGCCTTCAGAGAACATAAAGAACTGTATGTAGGGGCGCCTTGGTGGCTCAGTCGGTTAAGTGTCTGACACTTGATTTTGGCTCAGATCATATCCCAGGGTTGTGAGATCAAGCCCCTCATTGGGCTCCGCGCTGAGCGTGGAGCCTGCTTGGGATTCTCTCCTTCTCCCTCTGCCCCTACTCCCTGCTTGCTCTCAAAAATAAAGTAAAATAAAATAAAATAAAAAATAAATTCTTTAAAGAACTATATGTAAAACAAATGATAACCCAAAGAAGATTGAGTACAAGACTTAACAGGCATTTCATAGAAGACAGCATGCAATTAGAACATTATTAATAGGGTGACTGATGGGCATTAAGGAGGAGAGGTGGTATGATGAACACTGGGTGTTATACACAACTTATAAATTACTGAATGCTACATCTAAAACTAATGATGTACTATATGTTGGCTAACTGAATTTAAATTAAAAAAAAAAAAAGTGGGGAGGCTGGGTGGCTCAGTCATTAAGTGTCTGCCTTCGGCTCAGATCATGATCCCAGGGTCCTGGGATCAAGCCCCGCATCCGGCTCCCTGCTCAGCGGGAAGCCTACTTCTCCCTCTCCCACTCCCCCTACTTGTGTTCCCTCTCTTGCTGTGTCTGTCAAATAAATAAAAATCTTAAAAAAAAAAAAAATTTAAAGCAACAACAACCCAAAACAAAAATACCAAACATTAGCAACAAGGAAAATATTAAAACGACATTTCCCAGGCACTTGGGTGGCTTTGTTAAGCATCTGACTTCAGGTCATGATCTCAGGGTCCTGGGATGGAGCCCTGCATAGGGCTCCACACTCAGCAGGGAGTCTGCTTGTCCCTCTCCCTCAGCCCCTCCCCCTGCTCATGCTCATTCTCTCAAATAGATAAAATCTTAACAAAAAAACCCACCACGTTTCCATTTTTTTCCAGCAGATTGGCATTACATTAAAAATTCAGGTAATTCCCAGTAGCAGTGAAGATGTGGTGAATGTGGTCTCAGGAATGCTGGTGCCATCTACTAAGTTGCTCAGCCATACTAATTAGTTAACGCACACAGCCTAAGAACTAGCAATTCTACACCTGGGTATAGTCAATCCTCATTATTTATGGATTCGCTATTTGCAAATTTGCCTACTCACTAAAATTTTAACTCCAAAATCAATACTTGTGGTACTTTTGTGGTTACTCACGAACATGTACAGAGTGGCAAAAATTTAAGTTGTCTGACGCACGTGTTCCAGTCGAGCTCAAATGAGACACACCGCCCCTCCCACCTCAGTCCAGCTCTCTTTAGAGATGACCAGGGGATGGAGACTGTGTAGTGCAAGAAGTTCTGTCCCTGGGGCCAGGTGGATGAATCTGTATGCCGCTCATGCAAATCACCAAACACTTCAGAACCTCATTTTCTCTTTGTCAGAGAAAACAGATCTACCAGAGGGAGTTGTTTTTAAAAATTAGGATTATAATGTATGTAAGATGTGTGTATGTATCCGCTCACACACTTGCCCGAGAAGTAGTGGTTCAGAATCCACTAATTCAGTCTTTGTAGTGACTTTATAGAACTACTGCAAATAACAAGAACCAACTGTACACACACTAGAGACACTACGGCACTGTGCCCCAGGAGACGTGTATAAGAATGTTCACAAACTTAGAGATAACCCAATTGTCTGTAGAGAATACATGAATAACTTGTGACATATTTATAAATGAAATATAGGATTCCCAACCTTTTTGAGTTTCTGACCTGAGGACCCCGGATCCCCCTTCTCAAAACTCTCATCTCTCTTAGTTATCCCCACCTAACGAAGAACCCATGTTTAACTCCGAGGGCTCCTATCTGTTCGTTTCTAGTATAGCCCTAGAACAGCGCTGCCTTATAGTAGTGTTTAATAAACATTCTCCAAAATTATAGGAAACAAACCATTACTGAGGGTCCATCCATGAAAAGAACAGTAAAATTCGGGATGGGCGTGCGGAGAAGGGATAAAATTGGGAAAGAAAGAAATGTTAATGTTCACTATTTTAAAAACTGTATGTTGTAATCTGTATTTCACAAAAAACTGTCCCTGTAAGTATTCTTATAATTAGCTGACAATTATAAAGGACGGAATTGTTAAGTATGCCCAACCATATTTAGCATTTTTCTACAAAAAAATAGAAAGGTTTTCTTTTTGTTGTTTTGGTATTTTAAGGAACAAACCACAGTATGCCCAGAAAAAAAGGTCAGGCAACTTCAGAAGCAGTCAGATCTTCAGAAACTCTCAACATCATCTCTCTAAAATGCCTGCTGATTTGGAAGATCTGCCAGCTCACATGGTTATGCTTTTACTTACCTTAACAACTCCACACTGCTTAAAGAAGTCTGCCAGATCATCTAGAGTCACATTGTCATTTAAGCCTTGCACATAAATTGCACTGTTGTCAGAGTCTTCATCTGGATCTACGGGTGGGCCTTACAGAGAAAAGAAAGGAGTTATTATCCTGTATCTACAGGGGTTGATTAACCCATTAGTCACTACTGCTCACTGATAATTACTACAAAGCTGAGAGAACTACCAGCCACACTAACAAGAATGCCATGGAACTTGTGGTCTCCTTTGTCTAAGGCTATTATGAGTAGCTGCTCACGATAAAGGGAGCCCCAAACTGCTTCTAAAAGCAAGAATATCACACTGATCTACCAGGCTCCTGAGCTCTAGCATGCACTTACTTCGGTGCTGTGCTGTTCATTTATAAAGCATGATACAAAATTCAAGAATTCAAAATTACCTAGATCAAGATCTGGTCCTTCGTCCATGGGTCCTGCCAACCAGGAAAGATCACATAAAATACTATTAGTGCACGTCTTGCAAGCTATAAACCTTACAAACACACATAGCTATCTACTATACCACCATTTGATGGGGCTTCATTAAATTCAAAATGACCCGCACTGCTTAAATGGAGCAGTGCCCCTTTAACATTTGTGAAAGATTTGCTAGGGTTTTGCTTTTTTTTCTTTGCTGGTTTGCTTTTAAACCATTAACCAAATACACTCTCAATGCTTATGTGCCAAATTAGTGTTAAATTTAAGTCAAAATTTTTCCTCCAAACAAACCGAATTTAAAAAATGTATTCTCCCCCATATTACAGAAGCAGTTGCTCAATACTTCAAGTTACCCTTTGTTTTGTAACCATAGGTTAACCTTATTACCCCTAAGACAATGCCGGCAGTACCCATTAGTCTCTTTGTATAGATCATTTTTAAACCGCTTATGAAACTAATAAAAAATTATAGTTTTCTAAAAACTGACTGTATTTTTTTTTTAAACACTATCCATGGTAATACTCAAAAACTTACCACCAGGCTTATTGAAGCCACCTCGCTCTCCAGCGCTGCTGGGGGGATAAACGAAGAAATGAAGGCCTTTCCCTTTAAAAGCCAGTACCGCTCTGAGCCTTGGGGGGGCTCGTGGGGAAGAAGGGCACTGGCTAAACACATCTCCAAACAATGCATCTCTCTCATCTCGTCACTATGCCTTTCTTCAGGGCAGCTTGCTCAAATTTCCTTTATATACAACCTTGCTTGTCTGATTGTACACACCAGTGTGGTTGGTTCCTTTCATTTCGGGGGCTGGTATTAATAGTGCAATACTTGGCAAATTAGGGGGGGGGAAATCAATCCCAAACACCCACCCCATCAGCTGAAAAACAGGGACAGCTTGTTGTAGAGAGGAGTAGCAAGCTGGGGCAACTGCTTTCCATGTTCATAAAGGTGCACCCTCAACCTCTCCTATGGGAGAGCCAAGTGAGGCTTCCTAACAAGTCACAGTATAATAAAGCAGGAGACAACCACATTAAACGCCTACAACACACATCAGAGGACGCATCCAGCCAATCTTCAGCATAAAGCCATACAATTCAGGGCACTAATGGATTTAACAATCGCTGTGAAAGGAGAATTTACAACACATACCAAGGCTCAACGGACTGGGGGTGCAACTTTATAGACACATCAGTTGAGAACAGTGATGACGGCAGTATAAAATGACTGCTTTACATACTGTAAAAACAGGGGGAGGGAACATGAAGGGCCTTTTTTATTTTTCCTTTAAGATTAAATAAAGGCAGCTCCTCAGTGGGAGGCCCTGAGCTTTTTCTAACCAGTATTGCACCTTTAATACCTGAATATACAATTTCAAGCTGTTGCATGCAGCTTTGTTTCCTTTTTAAAAGTACACACCATAAAATGTTCTCTCTCTTTAAACACAAAAGTTTACACTTTAATGTTATACAATTCTAGAGTATTATACCTCCTCTGGTTCATTACCAAATAACAAGTATGCAGTTACCAAAGTTACAGAAGGATTCCATTTATACAATGAATACATTTTGTTAAAAATATTCTATGTATATTTTTCCTCTCCATATGGACACCGTGTCTAGTCCCACTTTTCATTATGCTGCCGGCTGAGTACTGAGTACGGGTACTTTTTAAGTATTGAAGTGTATACAAGGCTCTCACTTTGTAACCTGTAGCATATAAATGCGACAAAGCATGTTAAAAAGTTTCCACGTTTAACAGCCAATGAAAATATCAAAATACTGAGGCAATGAAAAAGGGCATGTTAACAACATTGAGTGCCTTACCTGCAGAAGACACTGAAAACCATCACCACACCAGAGTGAAAAAGAGGGGAGGGGAGAATGCCCCTGTCCTGTCCCCAAGGGATCCAACCGACTGCCTCACAGTCAGTTGAAAAACCTGTGGGAAAGCCATGACTTTTTTTTTCTATGGCTCCAGGAGACTTCTCCAGAAAGAGGGGATCCCTCTACTAGCAAACTCTAGCAAAATTAGTAGAATTATCATTTCTGGAGTATTAAAATGAATGAACTTGAAATTGGTTTTGTAATTGGAAAATACTAAGAATTCTAGGTGATTGGAGGAGACGTGATGATAGTAATTTCAAGTGTCTACGTCTATTTTAAAACATCCATAAAGAAGTGAAACCTTTATAATGGAATGACATTCTCCAAATCAGACCGATTTTACTTAATATCAAATTGTTCATCAATTTTTGTGTGTTGTCAAGTAACTTTCTTCCAATAAAGATTTCACCAAAGACTTTTAAGTTATGCAGAACTGTATTTTCAATCAGTTATCTTTCAATAGGATACAAATTTGAGAACACAAAAATTAAAGATCAATTTTTTAACTAATTTTGAAGTCCATTTCTATAAAAAAAAAAAGAAACCCTACCCAATTTTTCCTTGAACCAACAGTGGCACCAAATCCAATTTATACATAATATGTGTAACATTCTGCATAACTTTTTTTTTTTTTTTTTTACTAGTTTATATAGGGACAGAACACACACAGAACTAAACCTTCTGGATTATGTTAACCACCAACATTATACCTCACCTTCATCAAAGTACAGACACCAGAGAAAGGGAAAAAGGGGTGGGAAAAGGGAGGGGAGGGGCAGGCACAGGTAGCAGGGTTATGCTATTGATCTAAACAAAGTTTTCTAAACCAGATTGTGCCATCAATCAAAATGGTCAAACCGATTTAGACTTCTCAAAATCTCCAATGGGGAGTGATCCCGTAATTATTTACATTACTCTGCAAAAACCTATTAGACTTTTCTGTGTACCAGGTGCACCTCAGGCCATAGTTCAGGGGTTACGGGACCAAGATCTTCATCATTAACGTTCAACAATTCCAAGTACAAACAGAAGTTGGGGACAAACATTGTGGAAAACAGCTGCATTCCTTTTCTGCAGTATATATACACCAGGTATTTCAAGACAACCATTCAGAGGCAATTAGTTAAAAACCTAGGGGTGTTAGAAGGGTTGTGTGTGTTCCATCCCGAGTCTATTACCCACAGAGGCTTTGACCTCTGGAAACCATGAAGGGAACTGAAAGCTCTAGTTTCAAAACCATTCTTTGTTCTCCCCAACCCAACCAAGTAGATTGGCAGGGAAAAAAGCGAACTGCCACTTAATCTATGCCACAAAGATGACATTTCCATGTTTTAGAAGATGGCCTGGGCTCAACAGATTGTCCATGGAAATGTAGAAATAAATTTCTTATGTCTTTCAGTCCCTTCTTTCCATTGAAAATCCTATGGATGAAACAAAATTAGGTAAAAGGAGAAAAGGTTTGCTCTTACCCCATTCCACCGCGTCCTCCTCCCCGCCCACCTCTGCTCATGCCTCCACGATCAAATCCCCCTCTTCCCCTGCCCCGGTTATCAGGGCCACTCATGCTCCGGTTCTCTCCTGGTCCGGAAAATCCTCCAGACTCCTGCCCATAAACACCCATGCTACTGGGGTGGTCCTGTCGGAATGAACCTGAGGAAAGAGTCACATCTGTAAGCCATGGACCAGCATTTGAACCATTGCCTGTCGTACTTTCTCCTGGAATCACAGAATGCTCAATTGCAAGGCACTAACCAAGGTACCATCTTCTTTAAACCTGACAAAGCACCTCTAACAGTAGGATCTTTTAAGTTTAACCAAAACTGCTGGTTCATCAAAGCTGAAGTAATCTTACAGTTAGCCTAGAATAAACCACCCAAATAAGAAAAAAGCCCTCGGGTCAACAGTTTACAGGATTTTGTATCCTAGGATGCCTCCAAAAGCTGCTTCTTTAAACTACTCTCAAGAAACAAAAACCATGGGGCGCCTGGGTGGCTCAGTTGTTAAGCGTCTGCCTTCAGCACAGGTCATGATCCCAGGGTCCTGGGATCGAGCCCCGCATCGGGCTCCCTGCTCAGCGGGAGGCCTGCTTCTCCCTCTCCCACTCCCCCTGCTTGTGATCCCTCTCTCGCTATGTCTCTGTCAAATAAATAAATAAAATCTAAAAAAAAATAAAAACAAAAACAAAAACCAGGGGCAGGTTTCTTGGGGCTTTAGTATGTTGCTAAAGCTTGGGCTCCATCGAGAAGCACTACTCATCTCATAGCCATAATGAAACATACTCATGGATGGAGTTTCATTAAAAAACAACTATCCAGGTAAAAATTAAACTGTGAGTACAGTTTTGAGTTTTTGGTTACTTCTCCATGTGAAACTAAGGGTTCTATGAGGACTTTTTTTTTTTCACTTTATAGATGTAAAAAAACAAAACAAAACCAAAATATAGCATTTACTTGACTATCAAAACTGCAGTAGTCTTCAAAAGCTATCTGCTCACATCCTTTTAATGAGTTGGGGTGGGCAGGCCACAGGAATGCCAGCTTCACTCACTGTATATAATCTCCTTAAAGAGAGCAAGGCTGGCGTCTTAAAATGTTTTCTCTGGTCAGTTACAAACTCTTTTCTCTTTTTTTGGCAAGGCATACTAACAATTAAATTAGAGAAAAGCACTCAAGTCTTTAGTGGGACATCCAAGCGGTTAGCCAGGATGTTATGTCCTAAAGATGCCCTAGAGTCCAAAACTAAACAACGGTAAAGACCATTTCCCCATGTTCAGAAACTCCAAACATAATCATTCTTATTTGGTTTTCTCTCTTAGCAACTCACTCTGCTGCCCGTAGCTGCTGCTCTGTTGGCTATATTGACTTGGAGCCTGGCTGTAGGATCCAGTTTGGGGGGGATAACTAGTGGGCGGCTGCTGCCCATAGCTGCTTTGTTGACCATAGCTACTCTGCTGTCCATAGCTGCTCGGCTGCCCATAGGTGTTCTGCTGAGAGTAACTGCTCTGATCATAACTAGTCGGCTGTGTAGAGGAGTAGCTGAAAGAAAGAAAAAAAGCTTTTTAGGAAGGAGAGGCTTGTTATTTCTTCAAGCCCCCTAAATATAAGAGACATTCATAGCATATGACATAGAAATCCTTAAAAACAACACTTACTTTCTACATATCAACAGTTTGAATTCAAAATAAGCAAATACTTTTGTATTCAGAATAAAGCTTTCAATGCAAAGGAGGGGAAAACTATTGAAAACCAATCTATACATTATACAAACCTTAGAGTCTTCTCTTTTACCTCCCACCTCCTTAAAACCATAGTTTTCAATTAAATTCAAGGCAAATTTGGAGTTTGGTGTTCCTGCATTAAGGGAAGAATACGTGCATGTGCACTCAGTGGAAAAGCCACGGAGGAAGAGGCAGTTAAGCATGGCAGTTCTAAGCCTGCCTCCAACAATTCCCTTCAATCATGACAGTGACTGTTCTTTTTTTTTAATAATTTTTATTGTTATGTTAACCACCATACATCATTAGTTTTTGATGCAGTGTTCCATGATTGTTTGCGCATAACACCCAGTGCTCCACGCAGAATGTGCCCTCTTTAATACCCATCACCAGGCTAACCCATCCCCCCACCCCCCTCCCCTCTAGA